ACTACCACTACGCTACTACCACTACTACCACTACCACTACTACTACTACTACTACTACCACTACTACTACTACTACTACTACTACTACTAACAGTACTACCACTACTCCCACCACTACCACGAGTACTACTACTACTACTACTACCACTACTACTACTACTACTACTACTACTACTAGTACTACTACTACTACTTCTACTACTACTACTACGACGACTACTACTACTACTACTACGACTACTACTACTACTACTACGACTACCATGACTACTACAACTACTACTACCACTACTACTACTACTACTACTACGACTACTACGACTACTACGACTACTACGACTACGACTACTACTACTGCTACTACTACTACTACCACCACCACCACCAACACCACCACGACGACTACTGCATCCAAGGGCCCCAACCGCCAGGCCAAGAGCAGGGGGCCCCAGATCCAAGAAGGGGCCTAGTCAGACACGGCGGCTGTAAGCGAGGGAAAGGTCCTAAGGTAGCAAAATTCCTTGACAGGTAAGTTCCGTCCAGATGAGCGGTGTAAGGACTTCCTCACTGTCACTACCCTCGATCCCCAAATGAAAGAGTGAACCCAAGCCAAAAAGATGTAGGGATTATTATTTTTGGCTTCCCACAAGCCCCTGACCCTTGACCGCTGGAAAGAACTGGAAGGTGTGAGGCAAAGTTCAAAGAGCAGGTCAGAGGTCTAAGCCTGCCAAGGAGCCGACTCAAGGTCAGGCCTGATGGAGCGGGCAACCCAGGCAGGAGCTGGAGGGCGCGAGTGCCGAGAGGAGGCACCTGTGCCAGAGGCACCTGCGACCGCACACTATAGGAACGGTCGACCGCTGAGGAAATTCGGCGGGGAGAGAGCGGGGGACTGCAGGGAGGGGTGAGTAGGCCCCAATTGCTTCTGGGCGTAGGCCTGTGCCCGTTGGGGCCGGAACGAATAAAGTTGAGGGAGCCTGAAGCGCTGCTTGAAGCCGATGAAGTGGGGCGGTCGGTTGGAGCCCTGTCCAAGGTGTGCAGGTGTCCGGCGTGGGTGAAGCATCAAAGCCAAAGCCAGGTCACTCAGGCCAAGGCGGACCCAGCCGCGAGGTACCCAAGAGCCCTATGCGAGAAGGTGGCAAAGCTCGTGGTGGCGACGTGGAAGCGTGTGTTGAACTTAGAGTGGTGAGATATCAGGTGTACACGAAAGTTTCAGAACTCCAGCAGGGCTGGCTCAACAATGAGGAGCGCAAGCTCAAGGGCTGACGTTCGTCGAGACAAGAGAGAACCTGAGAAAGATCTAGAGCGCCGGGCTGCGGAAGTGGGAACTTCCAGGGCAGCAGGACGAGCGCCGGACCAGGAGATGGGGGAGCTCCGAGAGGGATTTCGCTTGGAGGCATGAGAGAGCCGGACATAGCGACGGAGAAACTCCCAGGAGTACAGCTGGGTGAAAAGCTACGAGGAGCTTGGGACACATTCGTCGATAGGCGCCCAGAGGTCGTCAAGACCGCACAGACCTTCAGCGCGGAGGACGCACGTTTGGAGTCAAAGTTCGTGGAGCTGTGGACCAAGGAGATGCTGCGAGTTTTGGGAGGGCCGGTCTGCATGGAAGGGGTGGCACTGCGGCCGAATACTGTGTTCAAGTCACCCCTCAACGCGGGACTCTGGCACGCCTGGCAGCATGCCACAGGAGATCCAGATGACAGCAGCCAAAGCTTCATCAGAGAGGGTGCCTCCTTAGGGATGGCTTCTCGGATTCCGAGCTCCAACAGCATTCCCGGAGGCAGACCGCAGCGGCATTGACGAGGAAGAGCCAGACCTGCCGATCAAGAAGATCATGGGCAGCTGGGCAGGACTTCTTCTTCACGCCCCCAGCAACGGTCGCCAACCAGTGGGTTGGCAACGCGCCGCACCAGACAAGTGTCTGGGATTCGCTGTGAGAACCACACGCGTGGCCAGCAAAAGAAGTGCAGTGCGCTCCCGGTCGGTGGCGTGAGGTTTGGGAATCCTGTCACCCCACGGAACCCTTGTAGGTGGTTGCAAGGGAGCCGGGAGCACCACGGCACACCCGTGGCGCGTGAGGTTTTCGCCGGCGACCTTTCCCGGGAAGGGCTGCGGGCGTAGTTTGGAGAGAGGGGGCCTGGCCGTCGTTGGGCTGGTCCACGAGACATATTCCAGAGAGGTCGTGGCGTTGCCAGAGGAGAGAGGAAAGGGCGACCTGAAGGGACGAGACAAGGAACGGGAGAAAGAAGAGAGTAGGCCAGCCACCGAGGCAAAGGGCATGAAGGCAGAAAGCGAGCAAAGTAGAGGCGGGGCGACGACTATGAGGTCGGAGGCATAGAGTGGTGCAACAATCTTGGGGGGGCACAGTTCATCGAGGGAAAGGGCATCTTGGCACAGCCCTTCGGAGCAAAGCAGCTTTGAAGGAAGGCCCATGAGGGAAAGCTGAGGGAAAGCTCATCATAGTTCAGAGTCTCTGAGAGAGAGATCATCGAGGGAAAGTTCATCGTACGGGGTGGCGCAACAATCTTTGAGGGCTTGGCACAGCCCTTTGGGGCAAAGCAGCCTTGAAGGAAGGCCCATGAGGGAAAGCTCATCGAGGGAAAGTTCATCTTGGCACATCCCTGTGGGAAAGTAGATCGCGGCGAGGCTACAGGGGTTACAGGGAATGGAAGCAACGCTGGGACCACGGGGCTTGAAGCAAAGTTCGTCACAGCACGGCGCTGAGGGAAAGGTCATCATGGCGAGGCTGCGACTACAGGGGGGAAGTTTATCACAGTTCATCGTGGTGCAATGCTTTTTGCGAGAATCACAGTTCATCGTGGCGCAATGGGCGTTAAGAGAATCACAGTTCATCGTGGCACAATGGTATTTTAGAGAGAGTTTGTCGCGACAAGGGTCACGAGGCCTGAGGTCGTCGAGACCTAGGGCACGAGGCTAGAAAGCCGTTACAGACCTTGAGCCAGGGGGGCAGAGATCAGCGAGAACAAGGGGATAGACTTCGGTGAGACCATGGAAACCAGAAGAAGACAGAGGTCAACTTGAAGCAGTGGTCGGCGAGGCAGTGCAACAGATTTCAGTGAGACTGTGAAAACCAGGAGGCAGAGTTTGGGTGAGGCAAAGGTCAGCGAGACCGTGGAGGCAGATTCTGCAAGAACATGGAAACCACTAACATCAAGGACACGAAAGTCAAGGGTGCCAGGTCGTAGGAACGACAGCGTGACTGGGTGAACCACAGAGTCTTCGACAAGATGATCGATGGGGCTGCCAGAGTTAGAGAAGCTCGGAGCACAGCAGCAGTCGTCGAAAGTGCGTAGAGCATCAAGGGACTGGGGCAACAGCAGCAATCGTGGTTTGGCCGGACCAGGTATCAGTAGGCATCAAGCACGGGAGAACTACAGGGTCATTCAAAATGTCAAAGACCCTACCCTACTAAACGGCGGGAGCCACCGACGCAGCGGTGTTCGTCGAGGCCAGATCGGAACTGACGACTGCGGACATCGAGGTGATAAAAGCACAGACCATTGCAGCAGCAGTCGGAGTGCGCGCGGAGGAAGCTGAACGAGCGCACCTATAGATGTAGAAGAGCATTCAGAGAGGACTCAGCGTGAGGAAACACAGAACAGACAGGGACCGAGGCATAGTTCGTGGCGGCAGTGGAGACAAAGATCGCTGAGTCGATTCACTCAGGGTGAGACATGAACAAGATGGGCCACCACGGAAGGTGAGTTTAGAAGTGCACCACGACCTACAGGGGACGCGAGAGGATAGCCTATGAGGAGTCCTGCGTGCATGTTGACCCACGAAGATCCCTGCGAGCAAACCAGAGATGGCTGAGCGTGAGGGCCCGTCAGAGGAGGATGGAAGAGGGCGGACCAAGTGTAGCTTAGAAGACTTGGATAACAAACTGACAGACGAGGCTACCTTGTGGAAAGCATCCTTTTTAGATCTTTTTAGGGTGGAGAGCTCACAAGAGAACTTGTCTGATCTAGAAGTGGCTACACGCTTTCGTGCTTGATGCTCAATACCTACATGGACATCTTATCATATCTTTAAGTTTTTCTTCCACCATCGGCGGGTTTCCTGTACGCTCGGTTGGCAATGCGGGCAAATTTTGTCCCATGTTGCACGACACCACACGCCCCAGGACCGCAACAGAAACCGCCGCACATCACACGACACCATCATCCTTGCACCTGACTCGTCAATCAACATGTATTGTCTGGACACTTCACCCTCTGGAACCTATGTTGTTTACAAGCTCCTGCGATGGCACTTGTACTGTAACAGCATTTTCAGCGCCTCTCCAAGGATTGCGGAAACGACGATGCTCACAGGCGATGAAAACTGTTGTTTTGACTGGCCTTTGAAGTGTATTTCAAGCTTGGTGAATGCCGGCCACATCCTCAATGAAGTGAAACATGTAATCCCTGAAAAAGGCCAAACACAAACGCAAAGAAACCCAGAGATGGCATGCTATGAGTGCTGCCAGGCCAATCAGAAATAGACCTTCCACCTGAGGCTGGCTTCGGACTGAACGTGTTCCTTGGTCTTGCTTTGATTTTTCTCTTTTTTCTGTTCAGGCCGCCGTTACAGCCTTTCAATGATACTGGTAGAAGCTTGAGGGTATTGTAGCCTTCTGCGGCAATGCTCCAGTGACATTGCCTGGAACTGGCACGTGGAGAAGATGGCACCAGATTGACCTGCCGGGCTTTGGTTGTTCCAAAGCGGTTGCTGTATAGGGTTGTTCGCAAAGCTTATTGGATTATGGTGAGTTGGATAAACGAGGCCAGTCTGGAGAAGACTTTAGACTGGAGGAGAGAGCAGAGAGCATAGCAGCTTGCATCGGCCGATTCATGCCACCGTCCAGGGTGATCGGCTGGGCCAGATTGACGTTGAGTGCAATGACACAAAATGAGCTCAATCTGAAGTGCTGAAATGTCCGTTTCCTTTGTGGAACTCGTGTTTCCTTTTTGCTGCTTTTTGTGTGGAGCGGTTTTAAGGTCACGACTGGATGTCCAAGAGTTGGTCGAATCTCAGCTCCAAGGATGTGGCTTCAACTGTGGTTCTTTCGGCTCTGAGACGGGCATTGGGACATCCAAGCTTCGGCTGGCTATATAATTGACCCTGTAAAAAGAGAAAGAGAGAGAGAGAGAGAGAGAGATGGAGAGCCTTTTTACGTGCAAGATCCTGCGTTCAATTGTGCATGCTATCGGGCCCACCCCCGAGGATTTGGAGGAACTTCGCTGCGAGGCGTGGCTTGCAAGTTAGAGCTTCCAGAGGACGAGTCTTTCTTCCATGTTTGGCAAGGGGGCGACGCTGAGGGTTTTATTCACGCCAGGCAAGGCACCTACTTGAGACGCCAACTTGGACACCATGCTGAGGAAACAGAATGAAATCTACAAATCATGCCCCTAAACCCTCTACTAAGGTCATGCAAATGACCATGTGTGCCTTTTCCTCGAGGACATGATCATTGATTGACCCAAATTGCGGTTCAGAGCATGTATTGTATTACTGGATGTATTGCTCAGAGCTACCTGATAGGAAGAGCAGGCGCTGTTTACCGGTGACAATGTGAGCAGCCCTCAGGGCCAGTTTCATGCCGTTTCAACCTCCAGAGTGAGGACTCTGTGTTGTGATGGTTACTCTTGTTTTCAAGAACCCAGGCTGGGCTGGGGAACCGGCACCTTCCAGGACTTGGGTGAATGCGGTCCGTGTGACCTCTCGATCCATGCTGAAGCTGAAAGACACTTTCATGATTTTTCGTGCTCATGTGCATGAGAGTCACAGGCGATTGGGTAGTTAGGACTTGCAGCCATACATGCGATCGCTCAAGCGCATGGCAGACCAGGATCCAGGGGCTGGGTGTAGGAGACACGAAACTGAATCAAACGTCATGCCCTCACCAAGTCACTATGTGTATGCTACTATTGCTGCTGCTGCTACTACTACTACTACTGCTACTATGACTGACACGACTGCTACTACGACAGATGCTACTTCTACTTCTACTTCTACTACTCCTCCTCCTGCTGCTGCGACTCTTTACTACTTCATGTCACTGGAGCTCTTCACTACTTTCCAGCTCTTTTGGCACCTGGGTTTTGTCAGTTCCAGCCAGGCACCCGAAGTGCTTTATCCAGCCCACGGGCCCGGCGCCCGTAGAGCAAACCACCGTGCTGAAAGAGGAAGGCGTCGCGGCGTCACACATTGCACAAACGCAGCGCCACAAACAAGGGTGGTGTCCTGGAATTTGAGGCCTGTGGTTGCTGGTGCCCTTGAGAGCGCGGCATGGTGCGGGATGCCAATGTGCTTTGATGCTTATCCTGGCGTCTGAGAATAGACTTGAGGCTGAAGATGTACATAACACATCGGGAGGAGCGCATCCAGCAAGTGGAGGAGGCAGGGTGCAGATAGAAAACGAACACCAAGAGCCAACGTATACGCAGTTTTGGACTGCAAGGAGCTTCGGAAAGAGGCTGGACTGGATCTCATTGAGCTGGTCAAACGGGTTTACAAGGTGTGGATTCATCCATCTGCTGCCAAGATGAAGTGATATACATTTATACAGATACATTACTTTCCAAATCATTTCAACTTTCCCTCCCTCTCTCTATATAATCGGATCTTTCCAAATTGGAGGCGCAGCCGGATGTTTTGCGTTCTGCCACACTATTCAGGCCTAGTGACATGTTGGTCAACAGCTCTTGAAGCTACAATCTGTGGCAGGGGTGCTTGCTTCAACACCCAGGTCAACGCCAGCCTCATTATACCTCCTTTTTCATTGCCACCAGAGATAGCTTCATGTAGAGAAATCTGCATTTTTTGTTTGTTCCTTGTGCATTCATTGTTTCTTGTTTGCGGTGCGTGTGACTAAACTGGCAAGGCTACTTAGCCTGCAGATTCCTTGCCTGTTTCAGCTGAAATCAGTCGATAGGATTTCATGGAATCTCACGTGGTGAAGAAGCAGAGTATATTTCTGGTACATGATGTCTCTATATATACCTTGAAGATCCTTGAAGAGGAGCATTTTACAGCATGTGCAACAAGCATGCAGAATCAGCTTGCTGCTGCTGAAACTGTAAGTCAATCCTGTTGACCGGACAATTTGACACGCTCAGCAACACTCAGCATCACTCAGCCTCCCTGTGACCGGACAATTTGTGTGACACTTTCATGAAGCCATGGCGCCGGCGCCAGAGAGTGTGGTGAAATTCGTGGAGGGGACCAAAGAGCCGAAAGAGGCCAATGAGGCGAAGACCGAAAGTGACGAGCTCATCAACGAGAACAAGAACCAGTCCACTGGGACTGCACCAGCGTTGACACCGAAAACATACGCGGTGACATATTGCGTGGCTCAAAGCCAGGGGACCCTGGTTGACCACCAAAAATGAACAGAATAGACTGCCAGCAAGGTCAACTTACCATGGATTTGGCCTCGGATTTTGACATGCAGCCATGGATGATCGGAATTGTGACAGTGAGGGGCCGTGACGGGGAAGTCAACCTCACACAGATTGAACTTGATCTTCAGTTGCAAGTTGTGCGCGGGTATTTTGCAGGACTCTTCCAGAGAAGCCAGTTCGACTCTACATCAATCGCGAGGACAACCATCTTGGTCACTTGGAGGCTTGCATTGGGGAGTGTAGAAGCGGGCAACAAAGCAGTTGGAATCAGGTGTAGAAGGTGCTTTTTAGGCCTTGTATTTTAGTAGTCCATTGCTTGCGCCGAAACGATACAGAACCTCATATTCGCCGGTTGCTGAATCATCCCCTCACTTCTCTCACAGGTGTACAGCTACGATCATGTTCCTTGGCTTTTGGTTTGCATCCTGTGCAGATCAGTGCAATGTGGTTACTTATCACCAGGTTTGATATGTTTTTCTTTGTTCAACATTATTATATAGTCAAGGTGTTTGCTTGACTCAAGAACCCCTCTCCTTGCTTTGCTATGTTTTTGGATTGGATGGATGCTCGGGGAATATGGTGAAGGTTGCAGGTTATACAAGAGCCTGTCGAATAGAGCACAGGAATGCTTTGCATAATATGCCAAGCACCTTCCTCCAGAATCTTTGTTCAAACTCGTCGCACAGACACTCGTGCACAATACTGTAAATATACATATGCGTACACACATGACACACACACACACACTATATATATATATATATTTATGTAACGATACATTTGGAGCAACGTGGAGTACACATCTCAGATATCGAACGAACTAAGGTCGGATTGCTCTTCAAAATATGTGAGCTGTTAACCAGCCATGGGGTGGATATATGCAGCTTGCATAGCATAGGGTTTGCCTCGCAAATGACCGTCTTAAATGGCTTGAAATATGTTTTCTTTCCAACTGTGTCCTGCAGCTTGGCGGTTTGGCCTTTTGATGTGCTGTTTGTAGAGATTTGAGCCGGTTTGATGTTGCTTGCACTTGCGCGAAGCTGGCATTGGTCAATCTTTGACAGCCTCAGGCAGTGCAGCAATCAATACCGAGAATGGAGTGGTCTCGTTGACTCAGACAAGAGTGATTCAAGAAGACCCCAACACTGTGTCTTGTGTGTGGCTCTTGTGAGCAAAGCATTTGACACAGTTCAGTTGAATCATGAATTGAGTCCTGTTTGTCATATTCACTTGTCACAAGCTGCGCCACAACAAGGTTTACAACCAGTTCACGGTTCGGATTGCACGTCCTTCTGACACGGCTGCTTGTGTGGAATGGCAACTCGGATGTCCTGTGATAGGATTGCGCTGGCTGCCGCTAGCTGTTCCATTTTGGTTTCTTGTCCTTCGTTCCGAGGTGCAGAGACTTAGAGGAATTGCTGGAGAAGACGAGAGGCACTGTCTTCAAGATCAAGTGTAAATGGAAATCTCGTTCTATGTTGAAATCAAGTATATACACTTCCACCTCGTCCCCGGTCCCCTCAGTACTTTTTCAAGTTCTTGATAAATTGCAACAGAGCACGTAGAGCACCTGGCGTAGCTGAGAGGCCCTGCCTTTGATAACTCCTTGGCAGCTGTCTCGAAAAGGCTCTCAGTCAATCCTGATCTGGTGAGTGTGGCTAGGCTCATGTTAAATTCATGTTAAATTCAACGAGAAACATAAAATCTCCAGAACTTTGAGAGCTGTGACTTTTAGAAGATCAGGTTGTGACTTTTTTGGAGCTGCCTCCTCAAAGGTCGGAGGCTCAGAGATAGTGAAGAAAGGCAGAGCCTCCAGGTGAAGTTGGGAGCGAAATTTGTCGGCAACACTGCTGTCAGAGGAAAGGAGGAAAAGAAAGGGAACTGGAGAGGAAGACAGAGCAGTGAGCATAGCACTGGTGTTCAGGGATGAGCTGTGCTACAAATTGGTCCTGGAGGGCATCAACCAGGTCTGATTCATACTGCAGGGATGCTGTAAGTGTGCACATCAACGAAGGACAAGCAAAACAGCAAACAACTGGTTCAGGCAGGCTTGCTGACCTACACGGCTTTGGTCCTGTTCCGATGTGGCTTCAGCACCCTGGCAACCACACTGCTTTGACTTCTACTCTTCAGCTTGGACGACTCAAGGCATCTCAACTGCAACCATCTCCACAACGGAGGCGGGACTTTATGTTCATGCATGCATTGTAGAGCTGGCTGGGGGGTTGCGCTGTGCCCAGGGCCACATAGTTGACACCTTTGAGCTCACTACAAAGAATGAAGAAGCGGAAAGCTTGCTTCGCTCATACTTGGACGTTCCCATGCCAGCAGGCTGGCAGGACACAAGGATAAGTAACACTCGTGTTTCACATGATGTGCCCCTGCTCTTGTATTGAAATCTCGAAGGCCAGCAAAACACCAAGGAGCTGAGATTGTGGAGGGGAAGGGATTTTGCGAAAGGTAGCCATGCACTTGCTTTGGCAGAATGCGTTCAACCCGGTCCGGAGGATGTCGGAACCAAATGCACCGGTTGGCGGTTCCCCTTCTCCTCCTTGTGTGGTTGTGCCCAGGAGCTTATGCCTTTGCCCTTTCATGCGACCGAGTCTGATAAGGACTTGCAGGCCACAAACTTGCTTAGCAAACCTACACGGTGGCAGCTTTGATTTAGCATTCTGCGTCTTGTTCTTGCTTTGTGGTCTTTTCTCTCGCTTGTCAGCCTGTTTGACTTGAGATAGTTTCGAAGAACATCCTACACAGGGTGCACGAGCATTTCTGGCTTTCATGCATGCAACCATGGAGGAATGGCAAGTAGCCTGGGCCTGGGACAACTATATATTCAAATGTGCCCCTTTGTCCACAGCACTCGTATCAGTATGCTGTGCATGCATTCGGGCAGCGTTTTCGACATGTGGACGCCATGGTGCCATGTGAGCCATGGGATCTTACCGCCGCCTGCATGTTCCGATCGTGCCTCTTGACTACCAAATGGTGGATCCGAATTGAGAGATCCGGAGTCCATGCTCAAGTGTCAGTCGAAGATACTTTCATAATCTTGAATCTTGAATAGACTTCGACATCTGCAGGTTAGGCTCCCTCCGAGATCGCTGGTGCGTGGTGCTGAAGCCTCCTGGGTTTGCCGGAGGTGCTGCACCTCCAGCCCCATCACTGGAAAGCACCCTAAAAGGCTTTCTACCTCCGGGGCGTGTCTTGTCCAATGCTCTGTCTTGAGAGTTTCTGGGCAATCACTTTCCTGGCTGCATAAAATTTCGTTCACAAATGTTAAAACAGCAGTGTAGCCAGTGGATGTGCTAATCTGCTAATCTAAGAACTAAGCTTAGGTTCAATATCTTTCCCAATCAAGCCAGAGAAGGATGCCGAAGGCTTGGCAGTAGTGTGGAGCTCAGCTTCCATCAGCTCCCATTAAGACCAAGTCGGAGCTATTCCTATCAGAAAGTAGTCGCACATCTCAGGTAACCACCGATGACGCAATGCGAAAGGGGCTTGATGAGACTCTGTCTCTTCGCTGCACTGGTGGAAGTTGGACTTTCATTCTATGCCAATACTGCTCTTTGAAAGACGATGGCTTGAGGCGCCGTGGGCTTGTGCGTTGTTGCTATCGGCTACTTGCAGATGTTGCTGCAGCAGGGCCACTCTTGGGCAGCGCTGAGCTGTTAGAAAGCGGTCAACTTCTTTCAAAAGGCCCAACCTCTCGAGTTCAGATTTGCGCTTTCCATACTCAGATACGTAGATACCGCCCTTCTGTTGGAGTCTGGACAGGTGAAGAGCCGGAGTGCTTCAACTTCAATTTGTACAGTGGCCGCTATCTTTGCAGTTGATCTTCGGAATTTACTCACGGCTATGGGCTACATGAATCTACATGACCCTGGCCACCCTAGCTGAGGTGCAAAGAATTGTCCCTCCAATCCAGAGATGCTCACGGAGCCTTGCTGAAAAGCTTGTAAGTTTTTGTGCACCGCTTGCTTAGAGATGATGGTTCCACACTTAGCACGTCCAGAGGCCATGTACTTAGCAAGGGCCAAGCCATCCACAAAAGCAGCACGTCAGTTGCGTCGCTGCTTCGCGGCTGCTGGAGCTCCAGTGATGATACTTGGCGTGATTTGAAGGAGTTGTGCTGCATTCTTGCAAGCTTTTTGGAGCCCAATGCAATGCGGCAGTCTCGGGATACTTCTCAAGCTCTTAGGTTTGATCGTGCCTACCATCCGCGGTATCGAGATGATGGATGCAAGGGAGTGCAGGAGATGGATGGTTTCTCATCCTTGCCAGGCTGGGGGTTTTGAGTTGGGGCTGTTAGCCAAAGTCCATGTGCTGATATCAATGCTCAGCA